GGCACTTAACAACAACAACAACATATGCCTGTGAGAGCTGGACAGTGAACTAGGAAGACCAAAGAAGAGTTGATGCTTTTGAGTTGTGATGTTGGCGAAGAATACTGAATGTACCACGGACTGTTAAAAGAACTAACAAATCTGTCCTGGAGAAAGTGCAGCTGGAATGGTCCTTGGAAGTGAGAATGGCCAGACTTTGTCTCACCTACTTTGGTCATGTTGTCTGAAGGGACCATCCCCTGGAGAAGGATATCATGCTTGGTAAAGTGGAAGGTCAGTGAAAAAGGGGAAGTCCCTCAGTGAGATGGCTTGACACAATGGCTACACCCACGGGCTCAGGTATAGCAAGGATAGTGGGGCTGGCGCAGGACCTGGCAGTGTTTCGTTCTGTTGTATATAGGGTCACTATGAGTCGGAGATGACTTGTCAGCACCTAACAGCAACAGCAACTTTAACTTATGTATATAAGTCTTGGTATGGACGTGTTTTCTTTTATGTAAATATCTAGCAGTGAAATGGCTAGGTTGTAGGGTAAGTATATGTTAACTTTTTAAGAAAGTACAGAACTGTTTTCTAAAGTTGTTGTGACATTTTACATTCCTTCCAGCACAGTGATATGTCTCATTCTTGAAGTCTTAAATTTCAAAAGCAAATAAATTATTGAAGCATGTTATACAATGGAGGTAATAAGCCAGCATGATATTACCTTACTTATAGTGTTGTTTGTGAGAATTAACTGAACTAGTGCAGAAAGTAGGAGCTCTGGTAGCATAGTGCCTAAGGCACTTGACTGCTAACCAGAAGGCTGGCAGTTCAAACCCACCAGCCACTCCTCAGAAGGAAGATGGGGCAATCTACTTCCATAGTGATACTGCCTTGGAAACCCAAGGAGGGGGTCTCTATGAGTCGGGTCAGACTCGATGGCACATAACAACAACAACAGTGCAGAAAGGAGCTCTGGTGGTGCAGTACTTAAGGCATTTGACTACTAATCAGAAGGTTGGCGGTTCAAACCCATCAGCTGCTCCATGGAAGGAAGATGGGCAATCTATTTCCATAAAGATTTACCACTTTGGAAACCCAGTAGGGATTAGTATGAGTTAGAATCAACTTGATGGCTCTGGGTTTTAGTGCATGAAAAGCATTTAGCACAGAGTAAGTGTTCAGTACTTATTAGTACTGTCGTTGTTATAATAATTTTGTTAAGTTCTTTGGCCTTTAATACTAGTAGTGCATTAGTGACTTATCTTGGAAGACTCTAAAGATAAACAGACTAGAATTCAATGATTATAGTCCCATGTTGTATAAAAAAATACCCAAATTCATAAAAACATCCCTAAACAAAATACAAATTTCTTTTTTCCTTGCCAGTAGGAGGAGGGGCAATTGGTTTTAGGGGTTGGTTACCTGGCGTTGAAGTAAAACAAAAGTTAAGGCTTGTCAATTGTTGTAGTTAGTCTATATATGTCATTTTCATTGTTATCTTAGCTATCAGTGAGTGACCTTTCATTATTTAGATACTGTTTAACTATGAGTGTCAAGGTTTGAAAGTGAGTATCAATTCAGATGTGACTATAATATTCTTTACAAGAAAGGTTTTTATGTTGTGCTTATTTGAAGTGTTTTTATTATACAGAGACATCACCTTCGATTTGGGATGTTGAATTTGCTAAGCAGTTAGCCACAGTAAATCAACAGCCCTTTCAGAATGGTTTTGAAGAAATGATCCAGTGGACAAAAGAAGGAAAACTGTGGGAGTTTCCAATTAACAATGAAGCAGGTAAATCTTAACTTTAGATGCTTTATTTTATTGATTGAGATTATTTCTGGCAGATACTCAGTTTTAAAATCCACATATTTCCATGCGTTTCAAAATGTAAAAACGTATTTGTGATATTCTAAAAGAAATCTGACAATGTTTTTAAAAAGAATGTTAGAATTTCATTTTCTAGGTGTTTGGTAAGGAAATTGAAGAAATGAAATTATATGGCAAAAATACACCATGAATTTCTGACATAGCATTAAGAATACAGATAATACCTGTTTTCTAGTTGCTAAGTAGATTACCTGGTGAATTTTCTAGTCCATTACTAGTATAGGATTATACTTCAATTTTGGAGAACATTACAACTTTTAGTCTTATCCTGGTGTCTTTTACTCAAAACTTTTCAATTAATGAAGTACAAAGTACTTGTATAAGCTACTTGAAGGACAGAGATTTAGATAGTTTCTAGAAACTTTTGACTGCATAATTATATGCATTGAACTGAGGATAGAATATTATTTATTTTCTTGGGGATTTCCTAGAGATATCAACTCTTCCTCAATAACTATGTTTGATGACACCTGTGTTGTCATAGGCTAAACATTTTCATTAAAATTTTTTTTGTAAATTATTTTACTTTTCTTGTTATTGAGAATAGACACAGCAGAACATACACCAGTTCAAATTTCAATATTTATATTCCTTGAGTTGTGCAACTCTTTTCACCCTTCTCCTTTCCCTTCTCCATTAACATAAATACTGTTCCCTAAGGGTCATATGTAATCTTACGCATTTTGTCCATTTGATCCCATTTTGATAGATCTTAAAAGAACACAATGATCAAGGCAGACATTCTTTACTCATTAAGCTATGCTGCTTTAAGAAGACTTCAGGGAATGTTTGGTTTAAGGTTTAAAGATTGTATCAGGGCAGTAGTTTCAGGAGTTGAGAATTTGAAATTTTGTTCTGCATTTTACCTCTTTTGATTGGGATTCTTTTATAGACTTTTTAATCAAACTGTTCAGTAATCTGGTTTTATGACAAAGGAGGCAGTTGTTCATAGAGGCGATTTAGCCACACGTTCCATTTTATCCTTCTATTTCTGACTCTCCTTTTTCCTCTGTTGAGTAGAAACCAGTTGTTGTACTTTATTGAATTTTATGGATGCGTTTTCAATTAGAAGAGATCGATTAACTTTTATGTTAAGATTAGATAGAAATTGTTAACACCTAAATAAGTCTTTGGAAAATAGTCCATAACCATTGTAGTGTTATGCAGTCACTTTAATATTTTAATTTGAATGGAAGCTTAAATACCAAGTATTTAGTCTTATGTATTCTTAAAGTATTAATTTCTATAGGGTATTTTATTTATTAATTTTTTATTGTGATTTGGGTGAAAGTTTACAGAGCAAATTCATTTTCCATACAGCAATTCATAAACAGTTTGTTTCATGACATTGACTACAATTCCCTACAATGTAACAACTCTTTTCCCACTTCCTCCCCATAGTTACCTCTTCCCTGTGTCATTCCCTCCCATGCACTCTCACCCCCTGAGCTGTCTACCTATATAAACACTTCCCTTCTGTTCTTCCACAATTGATCATGCCAAGGAGTGTATCTGTTGTTGTTGTTGTTAAGTGCCGTCGAGTTGTTTCCGACTCATAGCGACCCCATGCACAGCAGAACGAAACACTGCCCAATCCCGCACCAGCCCCACAATCCCTGCTATACTTGAGCCCATCATTGCA